CAGTACAAGAAACCAAATATCATGCAACACATTAGTTTCCAAGTCAACAAAACACTTCCTCTTATAGTTTCATAATATAAGATGCTTGACTCAGGACTTGATTACAGTAATACCAACAGAATAAAAGTCAGTTCAATGATGTTATCTGAACCTATTCCAAACTATCTAGGTTATCTGGAGGAAAGGGCACTTCAACAGAGAAACACATTTAACTTACATCCAAAAACCAGTAAAACTACCATAAAAATAAGGGAAATAATTTTAATGAAATGATTCATAAGATCTTAAAGAATGTTAAAATTGAACTTGAAAAACTACTGATTTCACATGATGTGATTTCACACATCTAAACGTATTTAGGGGAAAAAAATCCAGGTTAAACTACTCAATAACAAGTCTCAAGGATCACTAAATGTTCAAATGTGGTAAATTGTATGAGTCACTGTTTCCTAAAGTTTTGATAAGACTCATTCATTAACCATGGTCTTTTACTTTGGATTGTTGGATTTCCTATATATTTTGGTAAGATTTTAAAATCTGGGCCTTAGATCTGAGGTCAACAAAAGTTTTTCATAAAGGGCCAGATAGAAATATTTTAGGGTTTCCAGGCTAAATACTCTGTCGCATCGTCACATTTGTATTTTCATAGTCTTTTAAAATGTAAAAACCATTCTTAGCTCATTCCCTACAAAAACAGGTCATAGCCAGATTTGCCCTAGGCCAGTTTCCCCACCCCTGCTTTACACTGTACATATTATCATTTTGTTACTCTGTCAATTCCACTGATATTTTTTATTTGCTCAAATGTCACTTTCTCAGTAAGTCCTCTGAAGATATTCCTACCTGTCCCCCTATATATAGAACATAATATGTAATACACAGTACATCACCTAACATATCTTTATTCATTATCTGATCTTTGTCATTCCCCACACCCCCATCCCCACCAGCATAAATTCCATGAAGGCAGACTTTTTTTTTTTTTTCCAGATGGATCGCCTGTACCTAGAATAGTGCCAGGTGTATCTTTAGGCTCTCAATAAATAAATCTATTCTTCCAGTTATAAAACAAATACCATGGAGGAGATATATATCCAAATGAAATAATGTAACAAGTGGAAAAGTATTTAAGGACAAGATTGACAAATACTTTCCTTTTAAAATTGTTTCAAGTAGTCATAAAACATTTTAAAGAGAAAAAAAAAAAGGTTCAAAATTACAGCATTTTCTTACTGTCCCACAGAGCGGTTTTTCTTTTTTTTTTTTTTCTTTTTTTTTTTTTTAAGATTTTATTTATTTATTTGACAGAGAGAGACACAGCGAGAGAGGGAACACAAGCAGGGGGAGTGGGAGAGGGAGAAGCAGGCTCCCCGCAGAGCAGGGAGCCCGATGCGGGACTCGATCCAGGGACTCCAGGATCATGACCTGAGCTGAAGGCAGTCGCTTAACCAACTGAGCCACCCAGGCGCCCCAGAGCGGTTTTTCTTAGACTAATTCCCAGGAAGGTTACCATTACTATAGCTTATTTAATAACAAATTACATTTGCCATTCCTAAACCTCTCTACAGACTTGTTCTGCCTCTTTGATCTCACTTGTATGTATTCCCTGCCCATTAAACTCACTCATCTAGTTTGGCAACTTTAAAGTTTAGCAAATCAGGGAAAAGTTACTTTACCTCTTCTTCTGTGGCTCCATGTCCTACCATTCCCTTTTTTATAAACTTCCTAGTATTGTAATCTTTCCTACTTTGTCTTTACCATTCAATATAAACAAAACAAGAAGCTAGATTCTATCGAATGTTCTACTCCAAATACATTCTGCTCAGTGATTAGTCAGACTTAAAAGTTCTTTTTAATTGCTATATGTGGTTTCACAATTTTTACCTGTAAGAGACAAGATTTGCCTTACTGCACTCTGATATATACTTGGCAAGGTACTGGGGATTTAACTGGAAATTTAGGAAGCTCCACCACCATTCAGCTTATGGCTACTGTATTTCTAAACATATGAAAAATATAAAAACCCACTAAAGAGTAAAGTATCTTCTGCTGCTATCACTGATAAATTGATACTTAATAGCCATTAGTAAATCATAGTACTAAGTATATTAACATTAATGTGGGGGTTAAATCATACTAGAGAACACACTAAGACATTCTAAAATCAAGTTACAAAAATTGTTAATTCAAGGGAGAATGCTTACAAAAAATGAAATGTGTTTAAAAAACCCTTTTATCCAACGAGTTATTCTTCATCTACTATTTTACTTTCTAAATGGCTACAATTCTGCCATTCTTATGAGACAAGCAACTGGCTTTTGGAAGACAACTTTAAAATCTAAAAGTCAATTGTCAAGGGTTGAGACAACTCTGTAGGCCAATTCCTTAGAGACATATTCTCTACTCCTGAAAACGTTAAGGTTGTGATTTTGGAAAAATGGTAGAATACAAACTGCTTAGAACCTTAATTCTCAAAAATTATTTTCAACTGCTTTTGTGTCCTAAGTTATCACAAAATCAGATTAAGTTTGGTGGAGCTAAATCAGTACAAAACCTTGTACACCCAGCATTATAAGAACCAAAATGATTCTTTTTTGTTCTTATAAAAGCTAGGTGACTCCCAAATCGAGTCACTTTATACCATATATCCCTGGAGAATAACATGGCCCAACACACCACATGTCCCACTTAATCTAGTCCAAACGAGTAACATAACGTGAGAAACTGCACTGTGTAATTCCTTTATTTTCTGCATATTAGTGCTTTACCAACACTACAACCATAAAGAACACAATTCCAAGTACTGTACTTTTTAGTTTGGGGAGATCACAGTCTACAGACTCATTTACTTATATTAGACAAGATTAACCTCATTCAAAACTTACTGCAGTTTATAAATTCACATAAATACAGAAATTGATGCAATTGAACATAAACTTCAGGATCTTATTTTTTAAATTCCTAGATAATAACTTTTTCTGCAGGCTCCAATTACCTGCCCCATGATCACCAATGGTTATGGTTCAATTTAACTACATCAATTATCAACCTTTTATATCCTTAAAGAAAATGTAAATGAAAATTACAATTTCTTACCAAAAAGTTTAGGGTTTTCCAAATTTCAAATATTTGCTCCCCCCCTCCCCCCTTCAATTAGACATTTCAAATAAACTAAAAATAACCACATCTCACCTGCAACATTCAATAGCAATCACTTGATGTATAAAATTTTAACTATGCTCCCAGTTATTTTAAAACACACAAAAAATGGCTGCCTATCAATCTGTCTGTCACAAGTTAGAAATACTACATTTAGGAATTAAGATGAGGGTTTCAAGTTTCCTCCAGTTTAGGCATTTATACCTTTGTGCTTGTCTAAAGATGTTACTATAGCATCGATATTTGTATAACCCATGTTTATGTACCTTAAAATGCAATCATTTAAAACACTAAGAATTAAATTTATGGTGGAGCTTTGGGAATTTTAAAAGCAACTAAAATGTTCTCGGATGTGTCTGTCAGCTTCATTTCTAGAGATCCTTCTAAAGCAAAACAGAACTTTATACCTTAGTTGCATTTTGAATTCAAAAATCCCTCTGCACCATCAGGAGCCTACAACATAGCACCTTCTCTCATCTGCTTTAAGTAAAATGTGTCAAGAGTTTTACTTTCAATAGTTAACTTTTTATAGCCTTATGCTTCTCATACATCTTTGGTAAAAGCTCCATTACACAATATGGCCAAAGCACGAAGGACCAATACTGTCCAACTATGTACCATGATATCCCGCTCCATTTTAGTTTTCAGACACCCTCATGAATAAAACCCACTCCACCTTTTCCTGTATACTGCCTTTGCAGTCTACATTTCTTAAATTCCCTACATTTAATTCCTTGAGGATCTCTAAAATTAATCCTTAAGGCTATATGAGAACCAGATGCTGCTCACAATTCTGTATCAAGCATTAACATTTGGTTCAAAGTATCATCATAGTGGTCTCAATAATCTAGTTACCAGTCCCAACAAGCTAAGCAAGTAATCTTGCTAGGATCTGGATATCACCAGTGAGCACACTGCTTACCCTTGAAGAAAAATAAGTTTACATTCATTGTCATCTGTAGGTTCTTTTTCTTCATCCTACTTCCCCTTTGTCATTCCTCAAGTCTACACATCATTCATTCATCACATTTCCTTCCTTAAAGGAGATAGTGTATTAATGAACCAACAGAATATCTGACTATTTGTGAGTTAATCCTACAATCAAACAGAATTAAATATCTTTTTTATAAAACATCTTTTCCAGTGTTCTAATTAATGGAGATGTGGATCACTCATCTATAAAAAAGACTTCTATCTTCAGCTTAATCAGTTGCTCTAATGTGAAAACAGGAATGTGTATTTTTCCAAGTAGGTAGGTGTATATAATTTGAATTGTTAAATGCTTTATTAATGAACAAAGTAAACATTCTAGTAATTTTTAAATTATTGATCTTAGACATTTGAAATGTGGTAAAAGTATATGTTCCAGTTTTGCCCCAAAGTCACTTAAAATATCTACAGATATCTCATCTGTGTGTGGCATACACCATTATTGCTCCATTTTCTGGAAAGAGTCTACTTTTAAAGTTAAAAAAGAGGGAAAGCACAGCAAAGTTGCCAACTTTGCAGTGAAAAAAATCTGTGTTGATGGGTTACACTTTCATCTTTTTATGCAGTGTAAGTTAGCTATGTAATAAGGAACTTGAGTTTTATCCCTACTCATGCATGACGTATGTTTCAGAACTTAATAGCTGACATTTCAAAGAACTTCCTACATTACCTGTTTAACATACTGATGTGCAACTGGAACATATTACAATGATATTACTCATTATTTGCCACTGTAGGCTAAGTTTATTATACTGGTCTTAGATATAAAAGGTCACATTTGAACTTCCTAAGTTAAAGGTAAAACTCATTAGGGAGGGGTAAGGGCCTTAAATATAAAAGACAAACGGCAGTTTGATTAAGCAATAATTTTCAGTTTACTAGATGAAACAGACTTGCAACATAGTCTGCATGAATGCAAAATAAGCCATCTACAGCAAGTGATAAGGAAACTGGGCAAAAAGGAAAAAAGCATACATTGCAAAAAAGATTCTCTCGAAATAAAAAAATCAAACCATTATTATAAAGGACTTTACCAAAAACTGCTATATTTCCCCCATCCCATTTGCTGGAAGTCAATAAGAGCATCTAGCACTGTGTTCATGTCAACTGTCAGATCAGAGCATCCTAACGCAAAGCAAAAAGAAAAAGAGGGGAAAAAAAAAAAGAAAAAAACAAAGAAAAACAAAAAAAGGAAACCCCTAACCCCCCCTCCCCAACCGTAGAACAGTAACTCCAGAGTTCAAATTCAGAAGAAGAGAAAGTGGCAATTGAAAGAGGTGATGGTGGCGATAATCCTATGAATGGGTTTTTGATTTCTCTCCTTCCGGGGGGATAGGTGGAGAATGCTCATTAGGATTTGTAGTTAGAGGTTAACCATGTGAGCCCCTCATAGAGTCCATCCCCTGAGGTGGCACAGGAGGGCTGCACATACCAGTTCCTGTCCCGAATCCGGGTCAGGCCCAGTTTCTCCTGGATCTCGTGGGGTTTCATGGCATCAGGCAGGTCCTGTTTGTTGGCGAAGATGAGGATTATGGCGTCCCTCATCTCCCGGTCATTGATAATGCGATGCAGCTCCTGGCGGGCCTCGTCGATGCGGTCGCGGTCGGCGCAGTCCACCACGAAGATCAGACCCTGGGTCCCGGTGTAGTAATGCCGCCAGAGCGGCCGGATCTTGTCCTGGCCGCCCACATCCCATACGTTGAACTTGACGTTTTTGTAAGTCACCGTCTCCACGTTGAAACCCACTGTGGGAATGGTGGTCACCGACTGGCCCAGCTTCAACTTGTACAGGATTGTTGTCTTGCCGGCCGCGTCCAGGCCCAACATGAGGATCCGCATTTCCTTGTTCCCGAAGATCTTGGATAGCACCTTCCCCATCGCGTCGGAGGAGCCGGGGCCGGGGGCATTCAGGTGTCCCGGGTCCCCTCAGCCAACTACGCCGCAGCCGCCGCGAAACCGAAACGAAGCCTCCCAGCCGCGAGGGCGCCCGTGCGGCCTGCGTGGGAGTTGCCTCCTCGGGGCAGAGGCCCGGGCTAGCCACTCACTCGGGCATCACCGGCCGCACAACTTGATTCCTCCAGTCGCCGCTGCCGCCGGGGCCCTGAGTCTGCGCCGGGAGAGCCGCCGCCCTGCTGAGGCGCGGCCCGGCCCGGAACTGCCCTTCCCCCCGCAAGCGCCGCGCGAGCGCCGCCGCGGTTCCCGCTCCTCCGCCTCTCCTCGCTCCGCCGCGGGAGACCGAGGCCCTCCGGCCCGCCCGCCGCTCCACGAGCACCGGGCTCACCACCGACCCAGGCCACCCTAGAGTCAGCGCGGCTCCGGCGCCTCGTCAGGTCATTGATCCTCGCGGGAACTCGGTGCGCCGCCTGCAGAGACACAGAGAGGAAGAAGGGAGTTACTGGCGGAGTACCAGAGGGGAGCGGAGGCCGAAGTGGCCCGCCTTTCCAGCTCAGTCCAGGAGGTTACCTCCAGCCGCCGCCCTGAGCGCGGGCTCCCTCTGGCCTCCACCTCCTCCTCCCAGCACTGCCGCTGCCGCCGCCGCCGCCGCCGGAAAAGGCGCCGAAGAAACCGCCTCACTTCCCCTCCCGACCACGCAGGCGCAGCAAGGCCGACCGTTCGACGAGAGCGACCTCTGTAAGGAGCGCGGCCCACGCGCCTAGCGTCATGGGCGCCGCGCGCGAGGGGCGGGGCTACGGCGGCTCGGAGGCCTCGCGGCTGCGGCCAGACCCCAGACTCGCAAAACTCGGACTTTGACCCGCGCCCACCTGTCCCTACACTACCGGCTCGCGTACTTTCTGTAGTCCTCTTCCGCGCGCTCACCTCCTTCATCCCCGCTGGAACCGGAGGAGCAAATCCGCTGAGGAGCTCCACAGGGTGGGGCCGGCGGGAAGCGCGCTGCCACGATGAAAGCCTCCCCCGTGCTGCTTCTAGACTTGTTCTCAGACGACGGTGCCCGCCAGGTGCTCCGCTAGTTCCCTTCATCCCGCCCCAGCCCTCGCGCGTCCTCAGTCACCCGGGAAAGCCCAACATGCTGTTCCTACCTCTCCCAGCCCCTCCTTGGCCTCCTTAATCCCTCGTGTTCTGTGCATTTCCTGAAAGACGTGGGAGGCCCGTGTTTTGTGTGGAATCTGCAGGCAGTGCAGCGTTTTACTGGGCTTGGGTTTGCTATGAAACCCTTCTTTTAAATGTTTGAGCCCTATCTTTATACATCTCTTCAGGACAGTCCACGTTACTTAAAAATGACAGTGTTAATCAGAGTTCCCGTGCCTTGCCGCCTTTTCAACTGTGTAAGGTGGTAACTTTCCATATTTAAGTATTACGTCCCTTGAGTGTGATGAGCAGGAACTTCTCACCTACCCTTTCTTAACTTTAAGAAGCCTAGACGATAATAATCTTAGCATACGGTTTAGAATCGGACTAACTACTTTTGTGGCCTGGATCTAGGCATTTAACCTTGCTAAGTTTGTTATCTCATGTGTAAACAAAGTGTAATGCTGACCTTGCTCTCTGTACTCTGTTTCAGGGTAAATAACAAAATGTTTGTGGAAGACTTTAGGAAACCTTTTTGTAGCAAATGGTTAGCGATCAAGTTAGACTTAAAGTAAGGCGAAGCTTAAAATAAATGAACCAAGGGGAGGAAAAACAAGAAATAGTGTTTGTTATTTTTTAATGTAGATGCTATAACAGCATATGATAACATACTTATTTCATAATATAAGAATATTTGATAATGGTACATAGGTTAAGTGATAACCTTATAAGCTTCAGCTGAAATAAACTTACTAGAGTTAGTAATGTTCAGACAATGATCCAATTTACTTTCCATCTGCCTTAATGCACACTCGTAAAACTGGAAGAAGGATTTTGGAGAAGATTAGGGTTCAAAGTGTTGCCTGTTTTATAGCTGTGAATCCTTAGGCCTCAACTCTCCTAAACTTCATTTTCCTTATCTATAAAATCAGACGAAGAATAATATTGCTAATAAAAAATAGTCACCATTTATTGTTTGTTATGGCAAACACTTTACTATACTTTAAATATATTTTTTAATCCTCACAGCAATCATATGAAGTAATTTTGAGTATTAATATTTTACATATGAGGAAACTCAGAGACAAAGAATTTAAGTTGTTTTTTGAGGGTCACAGAACTGAGATTAAATCGTAAGTCTGCAACTCATCCTCTTAACCCCCTAATTATGCTATCTCCTTGGCTACCTCACACAATTGTTTGGAATCTCAGTTACAGTACCATAGTACTTATTTTATTTGAGGGAGGAATTTTTTTATATGTGGCAAGTAGAGGTATTTTGTTGCATTCCAACATAATAGTTTTCTCAGAGCAGATTCCAGTTTTTCCAAGTAGATGGGAGCTTGATCTGCTGGCTTGGATTTCTTTTTCAGTGGAAGGAGTAAGCAGAAGTAGTAGCTGGAAGCACTAGCCTCTACCTGGCACTGGCACTGTGTTAGGGCTATAAAGTTTATTTTTGAAAGCCGTCTTCTGTTTATATGCCACCAGAATGCAAGCTTCATAAAGGCAGAGACTTGTTTTGTCAACATAATGTCACTAGTGACATCATGTAAGTATCAGAAGTTACATCATTATTTGAATGAATGAATGCCATTTATACCACAAATAAGACCAAACGAAAAAGGAAAGGGACATACTATTTTTATCTGGGGTTAGAGTATTGGATATGTAGAGTGGCTCATCATTTTAAGTAATAATTATAAAACAATAATGGCCAGAAAATAAATACAGTGAAAATTTTTACTTTGTATATAATCATGGCAGTTGAGAAAATAAGTGAATTTCAGTAAAACCAAAATATCTGTAAAAAGTAACAATTTAGGGGGCACCTGGGTGGCTCAGTCATTAGGCGTCTGCTTTCAGCTCAGCTCATGATCCCAGGGTCCTGGGATCCGGCCCGCATTGGGCTCCTTGCTCAGCGGGGAGCCCGCTTCTCCCTCTCCCACTCCCCCTGCTTGTGTTCCTTCTCTCGCTTTGTCTCTCTGGGTCAAATAAATAAATAAAACTTTTTTTAAAAAGTAACAATTTAGGCAACTACTGAATCATACCACTGATGAAACATTTTCTTGATTTCTTCTTGAAACAGTTAACAATTCAAAAATAGTGAATTTACAAATATTTCTGTTCTGTGAAATATTTTACAGATAAACTAAAACTTGCATTTATGAAACAAAATATTACATTTCTCAGTGTGTACCCTGTTTCTCTGTTTTAAGTTTCAAACACAAATGAAAACTCCGACAAAACTATAGAAAAATTAGTCTCTGCTTTTTAATTTAAAGCCTATAAATGAAAAGGTTTCTTCAGCTTACTTAGAAACCTGGCTCCCCTTCTAGAAAACACCATAATTTCTAATCTGCTGAACAACCACATATATTATCTTGTGATATTCCTGACTAAAATACCATGTTATAAGAAAAATATTTACTTAAAAAAATGGCTTAACTTTTTGCCTTTAAAATGAAATGAACAAGTCTTTAAAATAGTATCCCATTCTGTTTACCCCTATTTCTGAGTTCCTAAAGCTCTTAATAATTTATTCTGTATGACTGTGTCATATATTTCTTTTTATCCCATGCAGCGCTAAGGACAATTCTGACCACACAGCAAGGGTGTTCAGACTACATACCTGTTTAAGGAAGATAACATCCCTGTTTATGGCTTCGTTTTTGAGCCCTTAGTCCACTTACCCAGCATTGGGTTCTATCTAGTTTAAAGAAGCCTAGAGCCCCAGAAAACCTAGTAGCAGTAGAAATAAAGAGCAAACAAGAAGCTATTTTAAAGTATATCTTTAGAAAAATTTCTAATCTTTTCCAACCAAAACATGGAGGCAGGAGAATTAGCCCTCCCTTCATATTATACCTATCAGTTTATAAGCTCTCTGAGAAAGGTTTCATGTCCTTTTCATTTTTGAATCCTTAGTCCCTAGCATTGATACGACAGTCCCTATCATTCCCTATTAAAAGTGGGAATGATAAAACTAAAAATGAATTATAGTTGGTATTTTAGCAAATTGTTTAATAGTTAGGGCTTTGGACCCTAAAAATAAACACTGAGGCAACATGGTCTAGTGGCACAAGTGAATAGAAAAAGCTAAATGACATCCTTAAATTACTCCCAACACTTCGTAATTAGCTTTGAGTAAGTTATTCATCCTCATTGATCATCATTTTTTTCTATTCCTGAAATGGAGAAATCTCTCTTAATTGACTAGGGCAGTATATAGTATTTCCCTTTACAATTGAAAGAGCTGAGCCACTGAGAGGATAAGCTACTTTCTTGAGATCAATAAGATGGTATAAAAGAGGTTCAAAATTAGATTTTTTTGATCCAAGTCTGGTGTTCTTTTCTCTGTTGTACCAAATAATTGTGTGAACTCAGTAAGCTGGACTAGAGCAATGGTTTTCAGCCCTGGCCGTACATTTAAATTATCTGGGGCATTTTAAAACAACATAAATGCTTGGGCCCCACCCCAGATCAATGAAGTCAAAATATCTAGGGTAGAAGTTCTACCCACCAGTACTTTTTTAAGGCCTCCCTGAGTGATTCTAATGTGTAGCTAAAACTGAGAACCACTGAACTCATTGCTAACTTCCCTTCACGTTAAAAATAAATTTTGGGGATGCCGGAGTGGCTCAGTCGATTAAGCATCTGCCTTCAGCTTAGGTCATGATCCCAGGATCCCGGGATCGAGTCCCGGCATGGGGCTCCCTGCTCAGCAGAAAGCCTGCTTCTCCCTCTGCCCCCTACCCCCCTACTTGTGCTCTCTCTGTCTCTTTGACAAATAAATAAAATCTTTTTTAAAAAGTCTATGAGTTCTGAACCCTACTTATTTTATTATTCCTCTTCCCCAAATACATACCTCCACACACAATTTTTTACATAGTATAGTGCAATAATACCTTAATCACTGGTATAACTTACCAAGACATTAGACCTGTCAGACAAAGGCGTAAATATTTCTGAGATTCTTGTAAAAAAATATTTTAAAAACATAGTATAACTATAGCTAAATTTATTGAATTATTAATAAAACCACTATCAACTAGTCAGCGCCATTCAATGAAAAGAAAATAAGATGGAATACTTGGCAACCATAGGATGATCAAACTCGTTAAGCTCTAGATTAAAACTTGTCTATGGATACTTGCCATTTGGCTGCCCAGTATGCAAATACCTCTCCTATTTGACTTAATCACAAAATAGGTAGAAAGAAAGATGAAGGTAGGCAAATAGGTATATTCCTTTTCTTATATCGCTGGTAGCTAGGATTTGGGTAAGTGAACTGGGCTCAACCAATCAATTAATGTCCTACTACAGACTTTGAATTTTGGGAGATTCAAAATCACAGAGTTGCTGGGACAAGTGCCCAGAGTGACTGAGTCTAACAGGATGGTGGCAGATATCTCGTGGCAGGAGTGCCATTGGCAACAAATGTTATAATAAAAGCACCAGCAAACTGTTCTGTTGCATAGGCCCAACAATACCTTTTCTCCCGTCTCTACAGCCTTCCTGACGATTCTGTGGGTCTTCTGATATACATCCAATGAAATTGTCTTCAGTTCAAATTAACCATGGTCAGTTTGATTATAAATAAGGATCCTGAATGGTACACATTTTAATTTAAAGAATGCAAAATAAAATCTTTAACCAATATTGTGCAAACTGAAGATCTGATTATGTTAGTAATTTTCCCATTAGGAGGTCATTCAGAAATGGGGTCAAAGATAATTCTAGAATCATTTCCAACCTGCTAAAATTATGTTCCTTCTCACGGAAGTACATGAATGTATCGTTTTTATATCAACCATTTGAATCACTATAATTGTTGGAGTGGGAAACATTTCATGTCTTAGAGATAACCATAACATTTGCTGTTAAAAAGAAGCATACAATATCAGAAATTGGTTTTTAATATCAGAAAAGTGTATTTATTTTTATTTTTTATTTTTTTTAAGATTTTATTTATTTATTCATGAGAGACAGAGAGAGAGAGGCAGAGGGAGAAGCAGGCTCCCAAGGAGCAGGGAGCCCGATGCGGGACTCGATCCCAGGACCCTGGGATCATGACCTG